GTGAAACAGAGAAGAGTTTTTCTGGTATTACTAAAACATAGACAAATTTGCAGAGAGCTTGTACTCGTTTGTCCCCTAGCAGAAATCACAGTCCTGAAATTGATTATGAAGTTTCTACTGTGGTATCATCAGGGCACTGCAAGATGCTTCAAAATGACTACTACAGTACTTAGCCTATAGGTAGCAACTTATGTTCACAGGACGGAAATGGGGGCCTAAGTTCAACCTATTCTAGGCATGCTGATAGCTAATTCTGAGTTGAAGAAAAATACCTGTTTTCACTCGAGGTTCAGAGTGCAGAATTTCCTATACAACTGGCATCAGACAGCCATTTTACTCTCTCAAAAAGCCTGAGAAGTTTCATATCAATTTATCCACTGGGTGGGGCCACTAAGAAGGATTTAGAAAATGAACTTCCACATTTAGGATTTAGCTCTCTGCCTAACCTTGAGCAGGCTTGAAATGTGTATTTTTTATGTGCAGAATATCAGTATACTGTAGTGTCAGCACTCGAAAATGGATCTGTGGGAAATGGCAGACTTTGTGTTAATACCTAAGTATCAACTAACACAAGAATTAGAACATGGCTGTTTTCATTTGAATGTCTCAAGCTTAATAGTATTTAGTATTCTCATCTTTCTTCAGAAAAATACTCAAGTGCGTAAGGGTTCTGTGAGTAGGCAGACGGCAGTGAAACATTTGAGATGCCAGCCTAGCATGGGCCAGTGAAACCAGCCTCTTTCTGAGGGTAATGCAAGGCCCTGGTTTGCAGCTACAACATGCAGTTCAGTGGACTTCAACTCAATTTGGAACAATTTGTCTGCATTTGAATAGCCTCTTCTGCCATCAGAAAGCCACCCTGTGTCAAATTCCACTGGTAATGCACGTTTAGGCAGTGTGTGACTGTGGATGACGTAACAGAAAGAGATCACTCATTTAAATCACATTTTCTAAAAGTGATCTACCAAAAAGTGCTACTTAGAACAGCAGCATGCAAAACCTGACACAGAATTTACAAGCACTGACCCTGCAGTGAATCTGGGGACTAAACTGGTACCCTGCTTGGTGCAAAATGTTTCTACACATGAAAATCCACTGAACGTAGATTTTTTTTTAAAAAAAAAGCATCAAAATTTAAGTTTAGATTTGGTACTGCTCTGTAGTTAAAGTAACAGTTAAATCTCAGGGTAGCAGAAATTGAAGACTTTGGATAATTTCTCTTAAAAGTTCTCTTAAAAAATGACTGGTAAAGAGAAGCAAAGGAAGGCATAGATTTATAAAAATAGAGCTTAACAGCTTTGCAATCTTAGTGTTGGTTTTTCAGCTTGCATCATAGAGTGATTCTGCACAAAAAGTACATTGCAGTCTGTTTCTTTTTGATGAAAGATGTTGGAAGTAGAATAGTTGCAAAGCTGCCAGCCTTATTGCTGCAGTTGTATCTTGAGATTACAGGTTTTCTGCAGTGACATTTGCTTTTTTTTCATTCCACAGACCAAACATCCCTGTGCTAAAAAAAAAAAAAAAGGTGTAATTACACAAAAAATTAAAATGTATCAGGACACTGTGTCATATAAATGGTCTAAAACATATATATTATCAGAAAATTACCACTTAACCAAAGGAAACCTTTATGGATTATGAGCATGAGTTCTTATTTAATGGCAAAGATCCTTTTCTTGGCATTCTCACTGCTTTTCAATGTTACGTTCATTACAAAATGCCTGATCACTAGATTAATATAAAGGATTACAGTAATCAGTTACATTTAACTGGCATGCTACTGTTCTAAGTAGCAGTTTATGGTGGATTGCTTTTAGAAAATATGATTTAAATGAGTAATCTCTTTCTGTTATGTCAAAAACAAATTCAGAGAGATCCCATTTTTGCCTTGTATGGTTTTGTGAACTATTTTTGTGGAAAAACCCTCAAACTCTACAACTCAGTCTCAAAATCTAGTACTTATTGTTTAGGACTTTCTTTACATTACCTGCTAATTGAGGGTCAGCAAAATGCCAAAAAATTAGTTGATTCTTGTCCCATATCGATCCCGAGATGAACAAGACAGGCAAATATTTCAGATTTTAGATGGGCCAGTAAGAACTCACACTAATGTTCCCATGTAAGGCTTTCAGTATGTGGCATCACTGATTTTTTGTGTTCCAAAGCACTCCGGTACATTTGCTAACATTCCTGTCACCCTGTTACTGTGTGAAATCATGATATGCTGATGCCAATAATAGTTTTGCCAAAGCTTTAAGTCAAGACATCTGGGCAACAACTACTATGTTTTTTTTTTCACTGGCTATGTTGAAACCAGTTTTCATTTTCCAATCAACTAAATTCTCCACAAAGCTTACCATGTAGCATGCTTGCTGCAGAATAAGTAATTTCCCATATTCACCTAGCTGGTAATGTATGGTGCTGTATTATGTCCACCCAGCCCATGCTATCTCCATTAAGAAGCAGAAAAAAAGCCTTAAGAGCTCTTGTACCCTATCAGTTTTTACAGACACTTCAAACTACTCTTTTCACTGAGTAAATTTTTGTCTCATTCAGTGTTACATGAATCACTCTGCTTTTTAAACAATGTTTGGCAAAATCACTGCTGTGTGTATCATAAGGTTCCTCTTCCTATAACCAACCTGCCAGTCAATTCTGAGTTTCTGTTGTCAGCTTCAACAGCTTTATGTACTGTAATGAAAAAGAAAGAAACTGCTGTTCATTTATGATCTTTACTGGTCCCTTCTATCCTATTTTCAGAATCCTAATAATGGTCTACACAGATAGGAAATTTTCATTTGTCGGCTCTGTTTTCAAGTAAATAACCAACCACAAAAGTTGATAATAGTGTCAAGGAGGACTCAAAAGCATCCACAAGAAGGTTCTGAAGAGAGTGGTGGCATTATGTGTAATGTTAGGTAAGGCAGACAGGATATTTCCATTACAAAATTCACTCTCACATGAAAACATAATTACAGGGCTCAATTTCCCAAAATACCAAATTCAACAAGGTTTAGAAATTCTTAAGAATGTTGGATAGTATACAAAGATGCATTTTGGAATCTATAACTGTTTTAAGATGTAACAGTCGACGTAACCAGTGGATACCTCCAGAAATCTTGAACAAGAAGCAAAGCAAACTAGAATCAAGTTTCCTTCTGCTGGAGGCTGCTGTATATCAGCTTGAGGCTTCTCTATTAAGCCAATTTCTTCTACTTCTGTTTGTTTGATGTTTTTATAATAACTTTTTCTAGAATTAACTCATTTTATACTGGAGGATCTAAATATGAAGAAATTACACATGATTTGCCTCCTGTAGGTAGGAGAAAACGTGAAATGCATCCCAATAGATGCTGTGGCTGGAGCTACTATTCTTGTCACTTTGTGCAAGACAAAGAAGGACTACAGAAAACCAAACCTTGGTTTTAATGACACAATCTTAGCTGCTTTGTGCTTTCATATTGTTACAGTATCAGTCATAGTAATGTTTTAATATTTGATTACCTAAATTAGGTAAATGTGAGATGCAATTAAAATGCTATTCTCGGCCTCTACAGTAATTAAGAAAATTAGAAGAGCAGTGGCTCAGCTCACACACTTTACAGGAAACATTGAAAAAAATAACATTGCTGTCACCTACTCGAGTAGTAAGTCAGCTGATTTCAGCATGATTTAATCTTCCAATAAGCTATAACCCTGGGGTTATTGCAGGTTCATGTTTACTCTCTGCAAATCTCAAGCTAAAAGAAGATATATGTTCAATTAGTTTAAATGATATACAGTTAAAGTTCTCAACTTTGTTTTTACTGAGACATCTTTTTTCAGCTTGAGAAGCCTTGTCTCTCCTGTCAAGCACAGAACTCCACTCCTCTTTGAATTATGGAAAGTATAAAGTCACTCTCATGCCCTGACACCCGTTTACCAGTCCACTGAGCATTATGAATCCTTGGTCTAAAAGTCTTTGAGATATGATATATATATACATATATGTAATATATATATTTTATTTCCAGTTAGCCAGATAGACTCCAGCACAAGTAAAATCAGAGTTGGTGTACGTCCAACAACTAGAGGGAGCTCTACACTTTGGAAGGCCTTTGAGCCTGACTTAGAGCTGTTTGAGAATCAGGTTTGCTGATTATTAGCTGGGATTATAAAATCCATGGCAAACAGAATTCTTAAACTTCCTGCAAGCAGAGGACATTCACAGAAGTGCATGTGATATTTTTTCACTTCCCTACTTGTTTACCTGAAGAAATAATTTTGATAACGAGGAGCTGGTAGTATTACAGTCAGTAGGCACTCAGATGTACACGCTAACTTGGAAATGTGTGTAGAAAAGTGACCTATCTGTCATAGGAGTCCACATTAAATAGCATAGACAATACTACTTCTTTTAAATTGATATTATTTTCTGTTCAGAAATTGTTTTCTTTTACATACTTGTAAAATACATCTCTGTAGTATTAGAAATGGCTACTAGGAGACTATATGAATCACAAAGACAATAATGATTACATTAAATAAATAGTAATGAACATAATGACATAACAATGTTCAGAATTACATTATAATTATGACATAAAATAGTATGTAATTAGCATGTGAATTCCAGTAATTTGTTTTAGACATATATGTGCATTGTTTTCAGAAGAAACTTTATGAAGTGCAAACTTTTATCTGGCTCTTCATTCCCCTGAAGCTGCCAGCAACATGTATGTAAACATTTCAAGTTGCTAACTCTTATCTGTTATTCAGACACTGTCTTTAAAAATAGGTCCTGAAATAGGGCAACAGTCCCAGACAAAAAAAAATAGAATACTAAAACTTTAATAAGAGTAAGAATATGAGTTTATATATATATATGCATATATATATATATTTATTTATGAAAGATAATAAAATGTGTTCTGTATAAATAATTTACATATATATTCACATATAAATGTAGACTATATATGCAAAAATACACTATTTAAAGATTCTTTTAAATAGAATACCTTTTTACTTTCTGGAGAAAAATCATCTCCGTCCTACTCACAGGAGAGGTAGAGCAGCATATGATGTGGCCTAAATGAGTAGAAAGAACATGCTTTACTCACAAGCTCTCTATTGCTTATTCTCACTGCTTTTTTTTTTAACCCTTTTGAACTTCTTTTCTGCTTCTTCTCTTTGACTTCAGTTTTCCTTAAAGGATTCAGAATGGTAGCACTGAACTTTAAACCACTGACATTCAAATAGTATCAGAATGATGTCAAAGGTGTTCACACCTCCCCACCAATACACATTTACAGAAAACAACTTCTGGCTTCTCAAAATGTAAATGCTTGTTGTAGAGAGAGAAATATGGCATAAAAAGCAGATAGTAAACAAAACAAGAGGCTTTAGTCAGCCCCCTTAGCTTTCATGCAATTCACAGGAGGTGCCACATCTCATTTCACTCTAAAACCTGCTCAGGCTTTGATTTTAAAAGACCTTGAATATGAGGTCTTGGGTGTCCTGCCCTCTTTGTCAAATCCAGGAGTGATCTGGGATTTTCACAGATGCTGTATGTGGGATAATGGAAGAAATACCAAGATTAAATTATTATTAGCATCAAAATAAAGACAAAGAACAGCAACAAAAGAGGAAAAAAGTCCACCATAATATTCTATCAAATAAAAAAAAATAATGTTTTTCTTCTTGGCAATGTGTCTTAACAGCATTCATCATCTATTGCATATAGACTCTTCTGAAAAAAAAACAAAAACAACTAAGTCCTTGAAAAGCATACAGTAAAAACTGTCCACGTATAATCCTCCTATCCATGAATGAAATAGTAGAAAAGCCTGTTTATGTATGCAAAATGACTGTGAAGTTATCCAGCACACAGAAGTTTCGTTCCTCTGTGATTTACATAATGTTACTTCTTTCTGACATTTTAACAGGAAGTACTTCAGCTATCAACCAACTCCCAGGGCTCTAAGCTCCTCATAAAAAACCCTGAACTGCTGGTGTGTTGATGTAAGTTAGTATTACTTTCACAATCATGTTCAGCTGCCATTCAAAACTGTATTTTCAGGCAAATCTGAGATTTTGAAAAACAAACAAAAAGTTAAACAAAAGACTTCCTTCTTGTTGACATGTAAGAATGGACAAATTCCATTTCAATTGCTCTCGGAGGGTTTTGATTGCCTTTTGTATAGCTTAACCTAACTCATTTTTTTCTTTCTCACAAATCCATGTTCTCACACAGGCAACACTATAAACCATACCCATATTGGTAACATTACCCAAAGATCCATTTATATTTACTAAATTTTTATTTAACAGAATATGCATATTCTGTCAGATCACTTATTTCAGTGAATACTTATTTATCCAGTCACAAACAGAATCTTGCATTAATCATGCTTGTACCTGGTTTTACAGGGTTTTTTTACTTTTTCTTTTTTTTTTTCCAATTCTTAGGAGTTTCTTAAAGTTAAGATATATGTAATTGATATCTTTTAATTCTGCTAATTGAAACTAACAAACACAAAACTTTAGCTTTACTTTATTAATTTTGTAATATCACATGGACTGCATCAGCCCTTTTATGGTCTACTGTCATATACTTATCATTCAGCCAAAACTGTTAGAATGAGGGATACTTTTTTTAATGCTATTAACCGGAACATAATGCCAAGACCTTGTGGGATGAAAACGACAACAAAAAAGCCTTAAACAGGAAGAAGGAACCAAAATGACAAATTTTCTTGCTACTGACATGAAGTCCACAAACTGTAGGTAATGAGATAGGAAGAATGAGTAGAAATACGATCACACAGGAGACGGGAGAACAAATGTGTGAAGGATTGCCCAGCCAGTTTCTTGTAAATCACACTTCAAAAGTTCCAAGGATTTGTCAGCACTTACTTTATGTCAGCAGACTTTGTGGAAATAACAGTATTCTAATTCAGCACAGAAAAACCATCCATTTGTTATGTTGACGTCCCTCGGACAACACAACTTCTTGATTACCTATGCCATCTTTCCCCCAGTTTCTTAGTAGGAAACTATTAGAGCAGTAACAGTCTCTGACATACACAGTTCTCGAGTGTGTTCTGTGTGTGAATCATAAGCATCTGAACAATACTCCCAGCTGGTGCAAATGTATGGACAATGGCTGGGAGCACTGTCCTGGTCAGCTTTATGTTTTAGACTGCTGCTGCTGCTTTCGTCTCCTCTCTATTTGCATTTCTCATGTTTCAAGGAAATATACTCACATCTCAGAAATTCATTAATAACTTATGCTAGCATCTTAAACTGAGCATAACTGTTAACAATATACTCTATGCTAAAATTTCTCAAGCACCTCTTTATGTGCATTATTTCAGTAGTTTTTTTTGTTTTTTGGTTTTTGTTTCTTAAACAAGTTTTACACTACAATCTGATCCTCCTCTTGGAACACAAGAGGTTTTTTAAAAAGAGTTTATTCGGCAGGTCAACTATTCTAGAAGTTCATCCATTTTTCATTCATTTGTGCAACTATTTTCTTTTGTACTTCTTCTCTCATTCCAATGCATTTTTAAGAACTTTTATTCCCATACCATAACTACTGAAAAATCTCATGAATCTCTCTGTAATTCCTGTCTAGTATTCACCCCATCATGTAGTGTCCTGTCCAAAAGGCAGATCTTTACACTGAAAATTCAAGAGACAGAATGAACTGATGAAATGTTGAATGAGTTAAAAGCTGTAGAGGGAGGTTTCCTATTTTATATCAACCCCTGCTAGACAGTTATTTGTTTGATGGGTACAAGGACAGAACTACAGAAGTGTGACCTGGATCTCTGGCTCTAAATGTTCAGGCTTTGCAGCTGGATTTTACTAAATCCAGTACTACACATTAGCCTTGTCTGATGCTGTAGTTTTCACTCTGAGAAACAGAGTTAATAAAGAGGATTTTAGATAATAAAAAATACAGATATTCTCCAAATACTCTTAAGTAGGATACTGTAGACCTTCAAGAATTAGGACTGGCTTTCCTGATGCTGCTGGTGTCTAGTCCAGGGTTTAGCCTAAAACAGTACTGAAGTACCACAAAATCAATGTGAATGAAGAATTTTTTTGAGAGGGAATCCTGTACACAGGAGCTCAGCATTTCTTCTTTGTAAGTGTAACAGTTTGTCCTAACTGACTTTTGCCTTCTGTTGCTTTGTTTTTCTTTGTAGTGCCTTCTTCCATCACCAAATGTGCCTCCTGAAATAAGCTTAAATTACTGTAAAATTCAGAGTTATATAAATTACATAAGGAGGACATTTCTCTTTGTTTCTTAAACCTGTGATTCCTATAACTTTCCAGCAAAAAAAAAAAAAAAAAAAAAGAAAAAAAAACAACCAAAAACCAACAAAAACCAAACCAACAACATCCTCGATTTTCTAATTCTTCCACTTCTCATGGAAAAATTCAATAGTTCAGGATCAAACTCCAGCAGAGTGTTCTGATGGTACCTTTTTTAAACCGAAATTCTCATCAGTCACCCTAAGAGCCATTCTACAATTATCCCATAGAGACACTAATTAAGATTGCTTTTTTTTTTGCACTAGCAGACAGAGGAATGACCCCTGTGGATGACAGAATGCCAGCTGGTCACTGAAATCTTGTAAATCCTGTTTTAAGTATTATCAGCAGAGGAAAATCAATCTGAAACTGATTACATATTACAAATGAGGGTTGAACTTTTTTAAACATGATTTTTGTCTTGAGAATGAACATTAATTATGATCACAAAGCTGCTACATACAGATCATTTGCATTGAAATCTTCATAGCATAATGGGCAAATAATGAGAGACTTTATTTTTTCTTTTTACAGAAAAATGAGTTTGTTGAAAATTTTTGAATGGTGTTTGCAATGAGAGGGAAATTATCAGTAGCTAAAACTCATCAATTCTTCAGATTCTAAATAAATAATAAAATGTAGTGGGAACACATCCTTTTTTCCTTCTCATTTTGGGGCACTGTTTACACAAGTATAGAAAAAGGGCATTTTCAATAATGAAAATAAAAAAAATATTTTGTCTAGTATGGTCTGCTCTTTGAATTAAAAAAAAACCACTTCAATAATGTTAAGTAGGAATACAAATCTCATTACTGATTTTTAAATAATTTTAGTAACAGCACTGCAAAATATGCAGTAAAACTTATCTTTGAAGGTCAACCACTCACTTTTAGCTTTCTATGAAACATGGGACCAGTATTTCATTTATACTATAGTAGTATTAAATAGAGGCAGAGAGGAATGCTTAGAGATTTAAACTGAACATTATTAAAATACTATTATTATATTAAAATACTATTATTAGTACTAGTGAATGACAACAGTTATGTTTCTCTTCTAGAGATATGAGCCCAAAACTTTCATGTCTGACCTAATTTAGTCTTATTTCATAAAATGGATACTTAAAAAAAAGAAACCATTTCTGCAAATTTGCTTCTCATGCTAGAAATCTCAAGAGTTCTCATTAACAGAAAATTACATTCATGTGATGAAGAAAGCTTTTTTCATCTGCAGATGAAGTAAGTCTGTACAGAATCATGAACGAATTTGAAACTATTTGAAAAAGTAGCTAAAAGAAAGGGGGCTTTCTTCTGCTCAGTTCCTACTAATAAAATAAATGTCACTAAGCAAACTGATTATTTACATGACTAGAGAGTTTCTACAAAAAAAAAAAATGCAGCTATCAAGAACTTCCACACTTGGCACTGAATTTGGTCCAGAGGTGCCTGAAGCAGAACTATTCTCCTTGCAGCATGGTATTTGTTTGACGCACTTGCAACTAGTTCTTATTGCAGTCACTTGAATGCCTTAAGATCCACTGGAGTTCTCTCAATGTAAGCACATGAGTGGAAATCAGCAGTTTCATCTATTATTCAAAGCAGATTCAAATGGTCCAGAGTCAAGCTGATTTCCTGAACTGCTTAAAAATCACTTAAACTGCTTAAAATGACTACTAGTAATACTTACAAGTGCAAATAATAACTGCATATGCATTTAGTCTATGTGTGTATATATATATGTGTGTATTTGGAACTCTGTTTTCATAT